AAAAAATTGACTTCCCTCTACTGTATAGTACAGTGTGATCATTATTATGATCAATATTTTAATCTTTTCTGAGGCCCAAATAGATTATCAAGTGCAATAGGTGGCTGCAGAGAAATGGATAAATTATATACGACGTCACAAGTGTCAAATATAACAAAGAAAACGAAATGTTCTCACATTATTTGACATGTTTTTCAAGATTAAATAAAAAAGTTTAAAAACAGAAAATAAATAACACATAAAATTGCACTTTTTCACTGTAAGAAAAGCTCTTTATTCTAAAATTGTCATTATTATTAATAATTTTGTCGGACATTATACTGAGCTGACACTTGTGATGTAAGAATACAGCTGTACTGAGAGTGTACAAATACTACGTTGCCATCTATTGTACTTAACAATCTATTTGCTGAGGCCGAATTTAAAGAATTTGAGCTGCGGCTCAAATATGGTTGGTTCCACTTAAAATTGTATTCAATGTTTCAAGATTTAAACCGGCGCTCAATTGAATTCTATTCGAAAAAGGATTTGGACGGGAGGGGGGGGTTATGTATAAATACTTTTATGAAAACCTTCCAGCTTCCTTCCAAAATATGTTTAATTCTTTAGCTGAACCAAATAGAACAAAATCATATAAACTTGAGCGAGTTCTCTTTAAAACCCTAGAAAGTTTTCCCTCTGCCTTATTTCCAAAAATATGGAATTCTATTGAATTAGAGCTTAAAGAAACTAAATCTGCAAAATCGTTCAAAAGAAAAGTCGCCAAGATCTATTTAGATAGTTATGCAAATTATATCTGTAAAAAAAAAAACTGTGTATCATGTGGATAAACTTAGTCTTTACTATCTTCTTCACCCTGTAGTTCATAAACATGATTCTAATAACTTATGTTACCCTCTGTTCCAACCCTTACGCTGAGTATCCTCCCTTTTCTTTATACTCCCTCACCTCCTCCTTACCTTTTACCTGATTTATTATCATTCTTATGTTTAAAATGTACAATGTACATTGTTTTTATCTGCAATTCTCATTCGTTTATAGTGGGCCAACCAATTAAAACAACCTACTCTGGTTAGGCGGGTCCAAACTACATAGTAAATTGTGATTTTTTATTTGTATTATCTCGTGCTTTGTAGTTGAATAAAAATATGAATATGAATGTACAGATTCTATTTCAGATCTTTCTATGATTAGTTGCTACAAGGTAAAAGTGTAATACGGTTGTTTTATTGCCAACATTATAGTAATTGTAATTAAACCATTAGATTATACATTATTGCACACCAGGATTCTTCTATCTATCTATTTATCTATCTAACATCTATCCATCTATCTATCTATCTAAATATTTATCTAAATAGCTATCTATCTATTTATCTATATATCTATCTATCATCTATCTTTCTATCTATCTATCTAACTAACTATCTATCTATCTATCTATATAACTATCCCTCTAACTATCTATCTATCTATTTATCTATCTAAATATCTATCAATATAACTATCTATCTATCTAACTATCTATCTATCTAACTATATATATATCTATCTATATATATCTATCTATCTATCTATTTATCTATCTATCTATCTAACATCTATCTATCTTTCTAAATATCTATCTAAATATCTATCTAAATATCTATCTAAATAGCTATCTATATAACTATCTATCTATATGTGTTTCTGTTTGCCTGTCTATCTATCCAGGAAGTGATTTGACTGAGAATTGGGTTGAATAATTGGAATAATTGGTCTGAGGAATGGGTTATGACAATAATGCACAGGTTTCATGCCGTAATATCATTACACAACTAGGCTATCAGACCGGGCGTTCCGCGCATATCTTCTATTTCAACTTTTAATTGTTGCTCAATCTTTCTGAATTTTATCTTCAGTGAAGCAGAATTAATATTTTTGGCGGATTTACAATTTGTTTGCGCGCGGATTTTCAAAATTTCGCGAGGGTCATGTTATTGTATTTAAATGGTGTTGTAGTTTCTTTATTACTATTGTTATTTCAAAATCTTGACTTTTGCTGTTGACAAATAATTTGTTAAATTTCTCGTCTCAATAAATACTTTGTATTTTCAATTTAACAAATTTTTGTTATTATTGCCTATTGAATTAGTTTATAATTTATTAGTTAAATCTGTCCTAGGACTGAGGAAGATGTAAAAAACATTGAAATATATTTCCTACTTTGAAGTTGTGCATTCTACAGATAGAATATACTTTTAACCAATTCAGATTTTTGCAGTTGTTTATTGAACTAGAGAATTATTGAGTTGTTAATAGACATCAAGGATCAAGATTCAAGACAACGATTATTTTATACGATATTACTGGGACGTCTTTAAAGCTTTTTTTGTAATAGCTCATCTGAAAGCAAACTGCAATTGTAATTTGATAATATGAACTTTCGATAAAATGATTATAGGGCAGCTGTTCAAAAATCAAAAGAGTTTTTTATTGAATGGAAAATATCGAAGAGTATAAAAAATATAAACAAAAAGATGTGAAAGGAGGGAGGAGTGNAACTAGGTTGTTACTAGCCGCAGGGCAGGGTAGGTTGGTTTTGTGCCTTATGAAGATTCTGACAGAACATTTCTCTGAGTTAATTTTACTCAATTAGAGGAGGGAGGGTAGAGGGGAAAGAGGGGGGAAGGAGGGGTGAAAGGGGAGAACTTAGAAAGAGAGTTATATAGATAGATATTTAAAATCAAACCATGCAAAGGAATTGATTCTTCGAAACAAACTCTAATTTTCTAATCCGAATATCTTTGCAACCCAATTTCCTGGACCTTGGATATTTTAAACTATGAATACAGATTCATTTTTATTGAAATATAACAGTTTTTACACCTTTAGGTTGAACAGATATAAGGAATTGAACAATTTGAGTTTGGGGCAAAGACTCAATAATGATGAAGAGAAGGTTTGTATTCTGCTACATGATGAAGAGAGGGTTTGTATTCTACCACATGATGAAGAGAAGGTTTGTATTCCACTATATGATGAAGAGAAGGTTTGTATTCTACTACATGATAAAGAGAAGGTTTGTATTCTGCTACATGATGAAGAGAGGGTTTGTATTTTACTACATGATGAAGAGAAGGTTTGTATTCTACTACATGCTGAAGAGAAGGTTTGTATTCTGCTGCATGCTGAAGAGAAGGTTTGTATTATGCTACATGATGAAAAGAGGGTTTGCATTCTGCTACATGCTGAAGAGAAGGTTTGCATTCTGCTACATGATGAAGGGAAAGTTTGTATTCTGCTACATGCTGAAGAGAAGGTTTTTATTCTACTACATGATGAAGAGAAGGTTTGTATTCTACTATATGATGAAGGGAAGGTTTGTATCCTGCTATATGATGAAGAGAAGGTTTGTATTCTGATACATGATGAAGAGAAGGTTTGTATTCTACTACATGATGAAGGTTTGTATCCTGCTACATGATGAAGAGAAGGTTTGTATTCTGCTACATGATGAAGGGAAGGTTTGTATCCTGCTATATGATGAAGAGAGGGTTTGTATTCTACTATATGCTGAAGAGAAGGTTTGTATTCTGCTACATGCTGAAGAGAAGGTTTGTATTCTACTACATGATGAAGAGAGGGTTTGTATTCTGCTATATGCTGAAGAGAAGGTTTGTATATAATGAAGAGAAGGTTTGTATTCTACTACATGCTGAAGAGAAGGTTTTTATTCTGCTACATGCTGAAGAGAAGGTTTGTATTCTACTACATGATAAAGAGAAGGTTTGTAATCTACTATATGCTGAAGAGAATGTTTGTATTCTGCTACATGATGAAGAGAAGGTTTGTATTCTACTACATGATGAAGAGAGGGTTTGTAATCTACTATATGCTGAAGAGAATTTTTGTATTCTGCTACATGCTGAAGAGAATGTTTGTATTCTGCTACATGATGAAGAGAAGGTTTGTATTCTGCTACATGCTGAAAAGAAGGTTCGTATTCTGCTACATGATGAAGAGAGGGTTTGTATTCTACTACATGATGAAGAGAAGGTTTGTATTCTACTATATGTTGAAGAGAAGGGTTGTATTCTGCTACATGATGAAGAGAAGGATTGTATTCTACTACATGCTGAAGAGAAGGTTTGTATTCTACTACATGATGAAGAGAAGGTTTGTATTCTGCTACATGATGAAGAGAAGAATTGTATTCTACTACATGCTGAATAGAATGTTTGTATTCTGCTGTAGGGTAAGGAGAAGGTTTGTATTCTGCTACATGATGAAGAGACGGTTTGTATTCAGCTGAAGGACAAGGAGAAGGTTTGTATTCTGCTATATGACAAGAAGAAGGTTTTTATTCTGCTATATGACAAGGAGAAGGTTTTTATTCGGCTGTATGACAAGGAGAAGGTTTGTTTTCTGTTATATGACAAGGAGAAGGTTTGTATTCTGCTTAATGACAAGGAGAAGGTTCGTATTCTGCTATCACAGTCCACTAAATGCTACTATATCTTCTGTCAGTGTACAGCAATTTACTTCAGAACGTACCAAAAGCTTAGTTGAGGATGATATATGACAAGGAGGATGTTTGTATTCTGCTGTATGACAAGGAGAAGGTGTGTATTCTGCTATCACAGTCCACTAAATGCTATTACATCTTCTGTCAGTGTACAACAAATTACTTCAGAACGTACCAAAAGCTTAGTTGAGGATGATATATGACAAGGAGGATGTTTGTATTCTGCTGTATGACAAGGAGATGGTTTTTACTCTGTTATGTGATAAAGAGAAGGTTTGTGTTCAGCTATATGACAAGGAGAAGGTTCATGTTTATTTTTCCTCTCACGGTTCCTCTTAACATAACGGAGCTAGCTGTAGGTCCCCCAAAGAGACCCGTGTGCTCAACTCTCCCCCGGGCGCTCAAGATACCCACCCACCCCCCTCCAGCTGCGCGTAGGGATCTCTCACCGCGCCACCTGTTCACGCGCCCAACCACTACCCATCTTCAAATCTAAAGGAGCGCCAGTTTTCTTGAAACTTCTGCTCTGCACGGACCCGAACACACTCATGCTTTAAACATGGTTCTCCTTGTAAACAATTCTCCACTCTCCGACACCCCTCGGAGTCTGAACTGGTTATACAATCAGTATCCGTCCTTGAAGGACGGAGCTAAACAGTTGGCTGGGACGGAACCAAAACAGATTCACAGCTCCGGGTCCTTGTTTGTATCTGCCCGGGAGTATGCTGTTACTCACTCTCAGGACAGTAAACTATCTGTGGTTGGAACAGATAATCTCATTAATAACACAGCCATCATTATCAGAAATTCAGGTAGATTAATTTTTATAAAAAATTGAAAAAATAAAGTTTTTTATGTTTATGTCAAAAACATCTAATTACAATACTTTTTAGTATATTCATATGTTTTTATTCAAGGAACTGGTGCTCTGTTGTTTGCCCATGTTGACCGGATGAGTGAAGACGACCTGTCAACAATGCTGGAGAAGCTAGGTCATACAACAGGCAAACTTCAACTCCATCTAGTGGGAGGATTTGCGGATACAAAGAATGTGTCTGAATCTCTTCTCTCTCCTGTCCTCTCCATCCTACACAGGAGTTCACACAACCTAGACCTTGTCACTTGCTGTATAGGAGAGGCGTGTACTGTGATGAGGGGCGGGGCACCCTGGCCCCTCCTCTACGGGGTGGGTGTCTACGTCAAGAACGGATTAATGTTTCCTGCATCATTCTTGGACCGTGGACCAGACCTAGATCTTAGGTTGGCTAGAACACTGACCGGTGGTGAGGGGGTTGGTATGCTGGATATATACTCCCCTGAGAGAGAAGAACTGCGGATAGGACCATTCTCCTACCTTCCCATGAGATCAGTAGATATATGGTTGGGACAATCAGATGATTTTATTCTACAGAGTTTAACACCATGTCCTGAGGTTGTAACAGATAGAGAAGGTTTTGTAAGACAGGTTCGGGATACATTGAGAATAGTTAAATCTCATCCATACCCATCCGTTACACTTTTCCAATCTAACTCACCAAGAACTTACAGGAAAGACGAACTTTCGGGGCATTGGATTCCTTCAAACAATTCCAGCTTTTGGAGTCTACCCTTCCCTATGCAGTGTGCTACTAAACCTGAACCTCAGATTCCGTTTCAAGACGACCTTTGTCTCAACTTCAAGCAGGAGAGCTTTCTGGCTTGGCAGGGGTTTCAGGAACCTCAGGTCTACTATTAAACTCTGGGTTTTAGGAACCTCAGGTCTACTATTAAACCCTGGGTTTTAGGAATCTCAGGTCTACTATTAGAACTAGGGGTTTAAGGAACCTTAGGTCTAATTTGAAAGGTTTTATGCTGAGTTTGGGGTTTTACACTCTGAGGTTCCAAAATTTTTGGTCTAGAGGTTTAAAGCCCAGGTTTTAGGGCTAAGGGATAAATTTTGAACGACTGTGATACAAAATAATATGGACTGGAGAACCAGTGATCTCGTTCTTTTTCTTTCTTATTTTCTTTCTCTTTTTTCTATTTTATTCTTTCCTTCTCTCATTTTTTCTCCCTTTTTCTACTTTTTATCCTTTTTTCTCCTCATAACATTTTTTTTCTTGTTTTCACGTCCTTGTATTTATTTATATGCTTTATTAAGTTTACTATCTTTTATTTTAGTAAAATGATAAATATTTGTACAGAGTAATAATATTATATTAAAATAAATTTAATTGATTTACAAGATTATTCTTTTATTTGTGATTTCTTTTTATCTAGTCTCTTGTGTGTTTTCTTTTTATCTAGTCTCTTCTTGTGTGTTTTCTTTTTATCTAGTCTCTTCTTTTGTGTCTTCTTTTTATCTAGTCTCTTCTTGTGTGTTTTCTTTTTATCTAGTCTCTTCTTGTGTGTTTTCTTTTATCTAGTCTCTTCTTGTGTGTTTGCTTTTTATCTAGTCTCTTCTTGTGTGTTTTCTTTTGTTTGTGTTATAAGTATGTTGTGTGTGTTTTTAGTGTTTTTAGTCTGTTTCAAATCACTTTTTTTATGATCCTAGTCATGTGGGTGTCGTTCTTGTCCGTTAATACATAATTTGTCTGTTAGTGTTCCTCTAGTCTTATTTTTGCGTCTGCTGTGTGAATGTTTTAGTCTAATGTGTGTGTTTCCAGTCTGATATGTGTCTTTTAAGTCTAATTTGCTTTTTTAAAGTCTATTGTGTTTGTTTAGAGCCTGGTGTGTGTTGTAAGAAGATTTGAGAAATTAGATAATGATTGTATACAGGGTATATACTCTAGAACTATAGGTTGGAGCCGTGGGAAACTGTTCTTAGGAATCTCAGTCTTCGGAGAACACAGGTTTTAAACAACAAAGATTTAAAAAATAAAGGAAATTTAGATCAAATATCCTAAGTTATTAAAATATCTTAAAAATCAGAAAATCACGTTTTTTATAATTTTTAACTTTCTCTTTACATCTTAAATCTCAGTGGCATGCATGACAGTGGCATGTCCAATTTACAATGGCACCGTTAAATATCAAGAATAAATGAGATATTTTTATTTTTCACACTTAAAATTGATTGTTTTCAATTGTGATTTCTCTACAAAATAACTCCCGAGAATAGAAAATATTTTCCACATAAGTGTTCACTGTTCACTCGTAATTACCACAACCGTTTTATTTAGTTTTCATCTTTGTTTTGAAAATCATTGATTCTAAAGAACCTGAGGCGGGGTTTCTGATTTTCTTCACTCTCATCTTATTCAAGTAAAATACAGTGCAATATAGTTTATATCTGGTATAATACAGTTTATATCTGGTATAATACAGTTTATATCTGGTATAATACAGTTTATATCTGGCATATTACAGTTTATATCTTGTACAATACAGTTTATGTCTAGCACAATACAGTTTATATCTGGTGCAATACAGTTTATATCTGGTATTATACAGTTTATATCTGGTATAATACAGTTTATATCTGGTGCAATACAGTTTATATCTGGTATAATACAGTTTATATCTGGTATAATACAGTTTATATCTGGTGCAATACAGTTTATATCTGGTATAACACAGTTAATATCCTGTACAATACAGTTTATATCTGGCATTATACAGTTTATATCTGGTATTATACAGTTTATATCTGGTATAATACAGTTTATATCTGGTATAATGCAGTTTATATCTGGTATAATACAGTTTATATCTGGTATAATACAGCTTATATCTGGTACAATACAGTTTATATCTGGTATAATACAGTTTATATCTGGTATAATACAGTTTATATATGATGCAATACAGTTTAAACCTGGTACAAACAGTTTATTTAGGAATAGTATTTAGGAAAATCCAAAAAGTATGTCCAAGGCAAATTTTGCATATTTTCGCGAATTTTCTCATTTTCTTAAAATATTCATATATTTTTTAAAACAAACTTAATGTTAAAAAAATTAAACCTATGATATAAAATAATAATATATAGATAGATAGATAGATAGATAGATCTGTAGATAAATAAATGTTAGGATGTTTAGGTTTTATAGTTGTATACTGTAGAGTGAAGATAGCTCGGAGCTCCTTATTAGACAACTTGTCACTCATAGAGATACAATCTAGGTGGTCGCAGGGACGGGGCGGGAGGGGGAGGGAATTGCTGTGAAAAAAATATTGCAATGTTTTAACCGGGCCCCCTCAGAGCGATTTCTTTTCCTCTCTCTCTCCCCCACATTGAACTGCTGTAGCCCCTGAATTAATATATCCTGGGAACATTATATTAAAGCTTGAAGTAGCCTCTGAAATAATATATCTTGGGAACATGACATTAATGCTTGAATAGCTGTAGACCCTGAATTAATATATCCGTGGAACATGATATTAATGCTTGAACTGCTGTAGCCCCTGAATTAATATATCCTGGGAACATGATATTGATGCTTGAACTGCTGTAGCCCCTGAATTAATATATCCTGGGAACATGATATTAAATCTTGAACTGCTGTAGCCCCTGAATTAATATATACTGGGAACATGATATTAATGCTTGAATTGCTGTAGACCCTGAATTAATATATCCGTGGAACATGATATTAAATCTTGAACTGCTGTAGCCCCTGAATTAATATATACTGGGAACATGATATTAATGCTTGAATTGCTGTAGACCCTGAATTAATATATCCGTGGAACATGATATTAAATCTTGAACTGCTGTAGCCCCTGAATTAATATATACTGGGAACATGATATTAATGCTTGAATTGCTGTAGACCCTGAATTAATATATCCGTGGAACATGATATTAAATCTTGAACTGCTGTAGCCCCTAAATTAATATATACTGGGAACATGATATAAATGCTTGAATTGCTGTAGACCCTGAATTAATAAATTTTGGGAACATGATATTAAATCTTGAACTGTTGTAGCCCCTGAATTAATATATCCTGGGAACATGATATTAAAGCTTGAACTGAAAATTTGAGATTGAGTTTAGACAACAAACAACCAGCAGGGTGCCAAGCAGTCAGGCAGTACAAGCCTGAAAATCAAAGCAAAATCAAAAATGGGTCTTCATAAGAAGTAAACAAAAAAAATTTGAAATGTGAAGGATTTTTTGTTAAGCTGCAAAATAAAGTTTTTAAGAAAAAAACTCTTTCACGATCGCTTAGTCCAGTCACAACCAACGGTCACAACTCACCATGCATTTCAAAAAAATAATAAACAACACTTGGTTAAAGTCTTGGTTGAGCCATAACAAAATCATTGATAGGACATTGCATAGATCAGAAACTTTATAGAGAAGACATTTCAACGACAATTCAAATTGAGAGAAAAATATGTTTTCTTGCATCGTAAAAATAACAGTGTTTGTGTTTATACTGCATCAAGAGATATGATTTTGTAAAAAGGAAATAATTTACCTTATCGATGAAAAATCATTAAATGTACTATCTATGAAATGTCCTATCTATGAAATGTCCTATCTATGAAATGTACTATCTATGAAATGTCCTATCTATGAAATGTCCTATCTATGAAATGTCCTATCTATGAAATGTCCTATTAATAAAATGTCCAACCTATACATGTCCTGCTATAAAATGTCCATAATTGGGCCCAAAAAGGGATTGGACACTACAAAATAAGGAACTGATCACTAAAGCTCTCGTTAAACTCACTATATCTGCGAACCTGATGGGGTAGAGCATAAAAAAATTACAATATTATTTAAAGTGTGAACATTTGATAATTCAAATTTTCTTTTTTTATTCATGAGTTTTAGATTTTTCAGATTTTAAATATTTATAATCGAGTAGATTTAAATTTTATTTTTTACTTCACGCACGGATAAGACTATTTTATTTCAATCAACAAAATCAAATATTTAGAAATAAATGTTTTAATTCATGTTCAAGCTCACTGTTCGTATTATGTACAATGATAATCCTGATGAACTATGATAACCTATGAACATATATCACCTGGAACAATGAAAGGTAGATTTGAAGATGCTCCATTGTTGTGAGATGACAGAGAATTAGATACACCTGCAGTGCAGACACAACCAAACCAAGAACATAGGTAGGTACACAGAACTAAATACAAAGATAGAAGTTTAAACTAAAACCTTTGATGTAGATTTAAACTGAATCCTAATACATAAATCTTCTCTGAATCCAGAAACGAAGCTTAAACCGAATACATAAATCTAAACTGAACCCAGAAACGTAAAGTAAAGTAAATAAACAGATATATATAGATTTAAACTGAGTTCTAAAACTAAATCTAAACTGAACCCAGAAAAGTAAATCAAAATGAATCCAGAAACATGAATTGAACCGAATCCAGAAACATAAATTAAGATGAATCAAGAAACGTAATTGAAACTGAATCAAGAAACGTAAATCTAAACTGAATTCAGAATTGTAGATTAAACTTCAATTAAATTAGATTTAAAACATTTGAAATGAACTGCATCTAGAAACGTAGATTTAAACCTAGTCCAAAAGAGTAACTTGAACTGAACCCTGGATTAGAAATATTTAAGATTATAAAATATAAATCGTGGAGTGTTATTAGTTATCACTAACCACGCTGATTTATAAGTTCGGTCCTTATTTAAGCTGTCATTTACAACCATACTTGACTTATCGAATTAATTACAATAAAATGAATAACAGGGGGGAACTTTACTGTAAGACGAAATAGGAAATGTCCAGAATAAACAGTTTTGAAATTTGTAAAACTTCTTAAGATTTTGTTGTACCTTTTGTAAGATCAAAAACCTTCAAAGTCTTATAAAGACGAACAAAGCTAAATAAGACTGTCAACCGAACAAAGTGATGAATGATGAACACGGATTGATAAACACAGATTGGTGAACACGGATTGATGAACACGGATTTATGAACACGGATTGGTGAACACGGATTGATGAACACGGATTAATGAACACGGATTGATGAACACGGATTGATGAACACGGACTGGTTAACACGGATTGATGAACACGGATTTATGAACACGGATTTATGAACACGGATTGATGAACACGGATTGGTGAACACGGATTGA